TGCATGACAAGTCAGGCAGTTCTCAGCACTTCAACACCAAAAATAGTGTGATCCCCCTACCAGTCTCCATCTACCGCTAATAACTTTTGCAAATAGAGTATTGTTTGAGCTGTTTTACCCCCACTTGGGTAGAGCATCCTGCTACAGCCTGGTAATGTTGTTGGATTATTCCAAATGATGCTGAACTTTAGTGTTAACTTGCTGGGGAAGCAAAAGTTTGCATCTCAAGGTGAGGGATTGAGTCCTTGCAGTAAAGCTGGAAAGAAGCAAAAGACAATTATTTATACGTATAAATACTCATTATTATAGTGAGGAAGTGCCATAGACTTACTAGGATAGCTACAGGGTATTGCTGGAGTTCCTGATGCCTAGGCCTAGCTTAGATGTTACCTTCAGACACTAAAACCTTGCTTCAAGTTGCCAAGAGGTTGATGCTGCAGCCTCTCTTAAATAGTAAGACAGTTTTCATTTGACTTTTAGCAGCAGATTTGGGGGTTTTCTAACTTTCTGGAGCACTAGTCCTTCTGTGCATGCTTAGCCACCCTTCTCATTAAATGTTTCTCGTTAAAAGGCTACAGATTGTTAAAGGGCAGAGTTTGGAGCAATGGGTATAGAAATATACAGTATGATAAGCTGGATTGTTTCTGTTTTGGATTTCTTGCTTGGGATTTTTAATTTTAATTCAAGGTATTTTGTTTTCATCTGGATTTGAGGCTGGGAGCGACTTCTTTCTGGGTATTGTGCATAATTGTCTTGTGCATTTTAAGATGGTAGAGGATAATGCTGTCTTTCTAGCAAAGGATAAGGCATTTTTTGTACTTTGTACTCACTGCATGATTAGGTAGCACAGGTGCTAGCTTATAACAGTCTATTGTTCATAAAAAAGGCTGCAAAAATCTAACAAGTGTGCACAGCACATGCAAGTAATATCTGTCTACCAATAAAATCCTTCAGAACTTGTAGCCTCAGAAGAGTCTTTAGTGAGTACTGACCTATTTTCTCTCCTTTTTTTTTGAGAGCTGGCAACAGAGGATAATATGCTCTGCTGGGTTCAGTCTTTTGGCTTTTCTTGCAATGAGTGTTTCCTGGAAAGCTCCCATTTGGACTTCTTGGAAACGAGCTGTTAGAACTGTTAAGTCTTAAAGTCAGTGTATATATTTATCAGACCTGTAGAGGTCTTTTTATTTTTGTAGATGTTAGTCATTTGACCCAGAAGCAGCTGTGAATCACAATGAAACTTCCTTGACTGTATCTGAAGGTAATGCCAAGTAAGTCTTGTTCCAGACAGTTTCATATTGTCTAGTTTGATGCACTGATAAATGTCAGATAAATCTGAATACAGGTGTAGATATGTGCTGCATGCCAGTCACCCACCAAAGCTGCTCTGTCACTCCCCTTGGCAAATGGACAAGGCAGAGAAATATGAAGAAAGGTTGAGATATAAGGACAGGGAGAAATCACTCGCCAAACACTATCACAGGCTAAACAGACACAACTTGGGGAAATTAACTGAATTTATTACCAATAAAAATCAGAGTAGGATAAACAGTAGGTAAAACAAATCTTAAAAACTTGTTCGCCCATCCGTCCCTCCCTCCCAGCTCTACCTCCTCCTTCCCAGCGGCACAGGGAGACAGGAGTGGGGACTATGGTCATTTCACCACATGTTGTTTCTGCCACTGCTCAGGGAGAGGAGTCATACAATCATCAAGGTTGGAGGAGACCTCTAAGATTATTGAGTCCAATAATTAACCTGCCACTCTGCTGTAACTCTTAAATCCTATCTTTCAGCACCAGGTCCAGACACCTCTTAAACACCTCCAGGGATGGTGATTCCACCACCTCCCTGGGCAGTATCCCAGTGCCTGAACACTCTGATAGGCAAAACATTTCTCCTAACATCTCCTCTGACTCTTGTCTCAGCTCAAGGCTCTTCCCTCTATTCCTCTCTCTGCAGCTATGGCAAGAGAGACATCCCCCACCTCTCTCCAGCCTCTGTCAGGGAGTTGGAGAGAGCCATGAGCTCACCCCGAGCCTCTTCTCAAGACTAACCAAACCCAAACCCCTAATGCCCATGTGTTCTAGACCTTTTATGAGCTTTGTTGCCCTTGGCTGGACTCGCTCCCATGCCTCAATGGCCTTTTAGAAGTGAGGAGCCCAAAGCTGAACACAGGACTAGAGGTGAGACCTCACTGGTGCCAGTGGCAGGTCTGTCTTGAAGCTATCTGGCACTGGCTCCATCAGACATAGGAGAAGTTTCTAGCCACTGCTCCCAGAAACCACCCCTGTAGCCTCCTGGGACCAACAGCTGGCCATACAAACCCAATACAAGGTTTCAAGGAAGACCCAAGGCAAATACTGCCCATCAAATAAATCATTAATTATGAAATTAATTACTATGCCATAATTGCTGATTATTTTCTTTCTTGGGTGGAATTTAAGTGTATGATTCCCTTTAAAATTCATATTCCTTTTATTAATTTATGAGTATTTTGGGGAAGAGGAGAGGGATGTGCCAGGGTGGCAGATGTTAGCTTGGGCCTTTGCAAGCATGGGATAGAGCAATTTTATGCTGGAAAAAATTCTCAGACACTAGGGAAACTCATTGTAGAACCTTAGACCTGCAACTTGGCTCTTAATGCAATTAAC